GAGGATTCCTAGAAAAGCACAGATGGTCTTTGAGGAACCGGCCAATCCCAAGCCAGAGTCAGCATAAGAGACCATGTACTTAGGGTGCCTTGACCAATCACAGGTAGCAGTATACCTTAAGCATTACCTTAACAGACTGAAAAAAAAAATCTGTTTCCTCCTGTAATTGCAGGTCCACCACATTTTCAGAAAGGGAAGGTTGGAGGCTGGATGAAAGTTCTCAAAATTTGCCAAGTCAAGCAATGGTTTCTTGAGGAAGGAGTGGACTGCCACCTTCCTCAAGGCCAGCAGCATCACCCCCTTAAACTCAAGGAAGTACTCCTACACCCTGATCCAGCCTCCTGCCACCTGCCTTGTTGTATTTTTGTGCAATTCCACCCCTTTCTTCTCAATAAATGTAGCTAAAGAAACATTGGGCTTCTCCAACTGCCTGGTTGCCCTGTTGCCAAAATGAGGCTGTTGAAGGTGACTCAGGATAGAAGCTGATACAGACAGCCACACAGAGCCAGATGAGTGGTTTTGTTCTGGCCACTATGTTGACTATCCTAATGAAGTAATGTGATCTAGTAGTATGTGCAACCAATCGTATGATTTATGGGTTTTCTATGTATGTGAACAATAATAAAAAAACTCAAGTCTTGACCTACTAAATCTCCTCCCTCTTACGATTCTTTCTCTCACTTTCCACTTGTAAGTTATGGCTGCTGCTTCTCCCCCTCAATCAATATAAAGACACTTGACAACTGGTTTGTGAGCAAAGTTCACTAGCTATGCACTTTCACCTGAATATCTAAGTCAGCTTGGATAGCTGGATGCCATGGGGATGGTTACTGAAAGGAGAACTGATATTGACATCAGAAGCAGTTGGCCCAAGCCCAGAACTCTATCACTCCTTGGTGGAAGATGCTAATGGTGGCTAGCCAATAATTTACAAAACCATCTTTTCCACAAACACAGATGGGCATTGTCCAGGGTAGGCATTAATATTTTCCCCTCTGGAGGTCAGAGAGAAGAAAATCTCATACCTAGAAAGACTGCCAAAGTGGAATGAGGGAAATAGAACCAGGGATCACATTCTTCTAAGCTGTCCTTTTTACAAACCAGCCAGATACCAAAGGATAACTCTACTGATGAATTAATCTTTTCACTTTCACTTATGACTGAATGATTCAGCCCTGAATCTTTTGGGGCAAGTGGTGAGATTTTGCTTTGAAGCCATGCAAAAGAGTGTGCCCTACAGGTAAAAAAAATTGAGAAACCTACCAGGGCAAAATCCAATATTTCTTTCCACTCTGAGCAGAACGCAAAGGTTAAAACCCAACAAAGAAAACAATAACCCATGGTGCCCCAGGTAAAGGACACCTTCCAATCATAAAAACACATCAACAACAGCAACAACAGGCCTAGCCTAATCTTTAGATAGTTGGGCCCATCTGGATTTCCAGGGATGCTGTTCCACAAGGCAGGGGATGCCAGGGAGAAGGCATGGTTCCTGGGTCCAACAAGATGACATGGTTTAATAGAGGGGGCCCAAAGCATCCCCCTCTGCTAGCCTGGCCCTCTGCCGTATTGTATGCCATAAACTTCTTTACTTCCTCCACTCCATTTTCTTAATGATTCTTTACATGCCCCTAATGAAGGACTATAGAGTAGTAAATAAAGTCAACAAGTTTAAGAGATGATAGGCTTCATTAGGTTAAGTTGCCTAGATCAGCTCAACCAGTTTTATTGGTTTTATGTCCGTAATTTTATGCTATCCTAATTTTACCTATTTATTTATTAATGTATCTCTCAGGACATGCATATTACGCTGTTTTTTTCTTTTTGCACGGGTCCCTGGC